ATCATGAAAGAGCTGTGCCTGTTATGCTCCCACCAGCACACCCCCCACCCCACCCCACCCCACCCCACCCCCACCCCCCCCCACCAGCCCCACCCCACCCCTTGAAGGGTTTATCAGTGTTTATCATTCCGCCTGTATGGTACCCTGATGGTTCCCCCCCCCCCAACCTAAAGGGTTGAACCCCCTTGAAGGGTTTCTCTGTGTTGATCATTTGCCGTGTAATGTTTGTTTATGATGGGGTTCCAGAAGTGACGCCTCAGTACCAATGGGGAAATGGAAAATCGACTCGCCCTCGACGCCGAAAAGTGCTTTTTGTGTTGGAAGTGAGTTGATTTTTGGTGTTGGGAGTGAGTTCTTGGTGTTGGGAGTGAGTCGGTGTTGGGAGTGAGTTGATTTTCGGTGTTGGAAGTGAGTTGTTAACCTTTTTGGACGCTTCCAGCTCCCTGATGGCCCGCGTCGCTGTGCCATTTTCCTGGTCCAAGAAAAAGTGATGCAAGGTGCTAGTCGATCCGCGGATTCTCGAGCGTATCGACGAATTGCACCGAAGTCACTTGAGCTCGTAGTAGTCTCCAGGCCCATCGCATTTGCCTTCTGTGGTCGCCTCTTAGTGCAACAGCCAGCTGAGGTGGAATATTTTGACCCAGGCCGCGATTGGCCGCAGCCTATTGTATTCCATGCAAATTTCTCGGTGGTGATGGAAGAAATGGCTTTCCTTGGTGACACACGAAGCCGATGCGAATTACTGGTGTTTGCACAGGCCAACCCGGCGCGACTCCCACTGACAATGGGCATTCTCCAGCCTGATATTCCGGTTAGAAGGATGATGAGTGAACGCAGGACAAAGCTGACAGATGCATTGGTCCGAGTGCTCTGTCGCCTATTGACACCCATCGGGGTTGCTCTTACAGGGCCACATGATGACTACATGCGTGACAGCCTACTCTCCCTGGCAGGGCATGGAGATGGGCATGTCCTCACTGTGGCAGTAGCCTTGCTACTGGCGATCCTGACTGGCCGTTCCGACCTCTGTATCGCAGGCGTTTTTGGTGCTGGGAAGACTCGCTCTCTGGCAGTTTTGTTAATCGCCCTCAGCTGCGAACTCAGTGACTTCTATGCAATTGTTTACACCAAAGAAATAAGAAAACGTCGCTGCGAAAGCTCTAGCTGACCAGATCAGTGACCTTGCCCCACCTACGCAATCCGCTTTTGGACGCTTACTGGGCCGCATCGAGGAAGGAAAGGGTGAAGCTTATGCAACAAAAATTGACGTTCGATGCAGTGATCGCAATAGAGTCATTGCTGAGAAACGCATTCTGATTGCGACTGGAGGCTCCGCTACTGCGGAAATGGCCATGAAATATTCCTCTTTTAGTCTATGGCTCTCCAAGGTGTGGATGGCATTTATGGATGAAAGTCAACAGTATGGCAACTACCATGAGATTGCCGCACTGGCTGCCATCCAGCAACCTGCATTGATTGTTTTTGTTGGTGACCATAGGCAAACACCTGGAGGCCTATCCAAGGGAAGGGCTGCAGCAGCAAACAGTCGGCTCAATAAGCTGATTGCCCTCCTCTGGCCGGATGCGAGCCAGGATAATGACTCGGAAGTGGCGTGGCTGCTCAACCTTGGCCAAGCACCACATACAGGAATTTGGACTCCCGCAAAAACTGCCCAGCACCTGCCAACATCACTGGCGCGTCTGTTCAGTGAGGAAACGCTCAGCCACCTGAATGTCAAAAGTAGCCTGATTTCTGCAATCCTAGCTGTCCTGCTCATTTCTACTGCTCCAGAAGAGTTTGGCATCCCTGAGTGTACAACTACGGTGGAAGCAGCCGGCTTAGATGGCCCACACAGGTGGGGCATCATTCTGCCCAACAGTTCCAGAGTGTCCCTGTTGACGTACAAAGCCATCGTCGCAGTTAGATACCCGGAACTAGTGCTACATGATCAGGATCCCATCCAAATCGGCCATTTTGTCCCCCACGACCACACTGCCGAGAATGGGGGCTTCCGTACAGTGCTCTGGGAAGTACCCAGAGCTCCCAGAGACCTCATGGCTGCTATTGAGGATGTCGTAGTGTTTCTCAACTACCTTCAAAAGTGCTATCGGGACCTCAATCAAGGAGCGAGTGCGCAGCTCCTGGTGATGTGTAATCGCACGGCAGTGCATACCCAACTTTTACAGCATGGGTTTCAGGCCGCTTGGTTTGGAGGACTTAGAATAGCCACAACCTCGTCTGCAGCAGGGGCCACGGCGCGAATAGCAGTTGTTGTTCAGACAGGGTGTGGCTTCCTCAGCGGGGGCCGTCGAGGGGCGTCGATGGAAGACAAGGAAGACTGTTTTGGACGAGCTACTGTTGCGCTCACAAGAGCCATTAAACATACGTACGTTGTCTTTCCCATTGATATGGCTGGTCTGATAGGGATGGCTCAGACGCTTGCGGTCTATCACTATGGGTATTTCACCCTCAAAGATAGGTCTGTTCAGTTTCATGAGCCCAAGCGCATACCATCGGACGCAGAAGCGGTCCTGGAGTGGGGACTTAACACACCTTTTAATTCACAAGACAAACCGCCCCTTGCCATTGCTATGGTAGTGACATTGACTGGAGTGCGATCCCTAAGAAGGTATCGGTTGGTCATTGCGCAGAAATCAAAGCTGAGGCTTACGCAGGAAGTCACCGCAGCCTTAGCCTCCCACAGTCGTGACCACCGCCTCACGGCGAGTAGTTTCTTTCCGTGCTCTATCGATAGGGAATACCTGTATGGCTATGCCGGCGATGGCTTTCGTTCTCCACTGTGGCTCTGTGCTTCCCACAATGGCTCTCCAGTTCTTGTCCACAGGCTCAGGGGAAGCAAGATGTACTTTCATCAAGCCACCAAAGACCGGCGGATACTACTCATACCAGGTATCCACTTCTTTGATGCTCACCGACTGCAACCACTGCTACTGCAAGCCCCTGCGCTGCAAGTACACATGAGAGAGAGCCCCATGGTTGGCCCTGAAGGGGCTGGCGAGACAGTGGCCGATCCCTTGTCGGAGGAAGAGCGAGCCACTACTGATGGTGAATCTGAGGTAGAGGAAGAAGCCGATGAAGCGGACATACCTCCTGAAGAACCATGGTGCCCACCGATCCCACCAGCACTTGATGACCCTTCGGAGATGGAAATCAAAGGAGCAGCTGACAAGCTGGCAACCATGATGAGTGCTGTCACGAAGTGAGAGCACAATCTTTGTAAGAACAGCGCAAAATTTTTAACAACAAATTTTGCAACTCAGGACAAAACAATTTATAAGGGTTACATCTTGCGCAGCACGCGTTTTTCTGAATAACAATTTTAAATGGACAACTCACACAACCAAAACAAAACAACACAACCTTCCCTTGGATCAACATCTCATTTGATGTTCGTGTTGCATTTTTCGTATCAAGGGTGAGGTAGTGGAGGGTTTAAAAAAACCTTTATTCCACAACCAATTTTTCTTTCGGCATCAGGGGGTCAATGGACACGAGACAGATTGCAGCACTTATGAATCATCACATCATCTCGCTGTTGTTTTTGATCCTTACTGAAGTTGCACACCGACTTGGCGTTCCTATTGTTCTCACACCCGGATCGGACCAGACCTCAGATCCAGAGGCAGGTCAAGCAGAGGTAGACCAGTCTGCTACAAGTAGTACTGGACCCACTTGTAGCTACGGCTGTGCAGTGCCTGGGTGCCATCAGTGGTGTTGTCACAATCACACACATCACTGTAGGCATCGCTGCTGGGATCATAGTTGGGAATAGGATGGTTGTGGAACACAAAGGTTTTCGTGGTAGATGGGCTAGCAGTGCCGCTGCCGTGTCTGCCAGTGATTTGCAAGATGTTGACAGCGTGGACCCCAGTACAGATGGCAATTGGGAACAAGTTGAGTTACCAGACACGGAAAACTTGTTTGGCAATCTTGACAACACTGACACTTTGGATTCATCATTTGAAGCCTTGGACCGTCACGATGCTTTGCCTTTACAGGAGCCACGTTTTCTGCACCCCAAGCCTAAGTCTGTTGCAAACAAACCAGGATCCTTGTCGGCTGAGAGCTTAGCAGTCAAACGCACTGCAGACGAGTTGGCATCAAGACACGTCCATAAGTTGACTTCGGACTTGAAACAGCCTTGGCAGAAGGGACCATTAGCAGGTTTATTTGCTAGGCCGAAACCCTTTTGGGATCGTTTGCAATCATTTCAACAATTGCCTTTGGTCGGACTTGCTGACCACATCACTGCAAGCTCAACAGACAGTGCGGTGCCCACGCAGATTCAACACACTGAACTTACAGTGCAGCGCATCAAGTCATCACGTTTGGTGTCATCGACAGACAACTTTCGACATGTTGCACTTGCCAGGTTTAAAACAATGGTTCTCTTAGACCTTGATTGCACTCGCCTTGGACAGTCCTTGAGGAGCTTTGCAGGTACCCTGTGCTCAGACTCAGAGTTGTCTCAGGTTTTCATGGATGTTTTCTCACCGAAGGCCACAGGAACAATTTTGAAGAGGTGCAATGCATTATGGCGTTTTTCATGTTGGCTTCAGGCTAGTGGAGGTGGTTCACCGTTCAAACAAGATGAAAGGGTTGTCTATGCCTACATCTGTTATTTGAGGGACTCAGGCGCAGGCCCCACGACACCTTCACAATTTGTTGAGGCCCTGAGATTCGCAGACGCTTTGATTGGGTTCGCATCGTCATCATTGACAGACATGCTCAGCCCAAGGGTGACGGGAACAGCACATTCTTGCTACATGACCAAGAGGTTCAGGAAACCTGCAGAGGTGCTTAAGGTTGCCGAGATAGCTGCACTGGAGGACATATGTTTGAATGACCCAGAATTGCATCGACGACTGATTGCTGGACATTTGCTGTTTTGCTTTACTGCCGCGGCAAGATGGCATGACTCAATGTATGTCATTTCAATGGAGATATCAACAGCAGGACCTGTCACCCTTCTTGAAGCCATGACTTCAAAGCACAAGTCATCGCGTGGAAAGGAGCAACAAATGGAGCTTCTGCCATTTACTGCGCTGGGCCATGTTACAGCTGAGGACTCATGGGGGGACAGCTGGATGAAGTCACGTTATGCCGCTGACGTTGGATCTTGGAATTACTTCCTGAATTCTTGGTCGGAAAGCGATCACACGTGGATAGACTCCCGCATGTCCACAGCAGAGGCAACTGGTTGGCTTCGTGAATTGTTGGAGCCCCATGTTGGAGGTGACAGAGCCTCATCTCTGACAGTGCATGGATTGAAGGCTACCTTGTTGAGCTGGGCGGCCAAAAGCACCATTTTCACAGCGGATGAGCAATTGGCATTGGGGCATCATGTCAACGCCCAATACAGGTCTGCCATGATCTACTCACGGGACAACCAGATTGGCTTGTGCAAGAAGGTTCATGCAATGTTTGCGCGTATCAGGGATGGCACCTTTGACCCAGATGCGACCAGGGTCAGTCGTTTGTTCCAGCTGGCTTTTGAGACAGCTCTTGAGAGAGATGGAGGCAGCAGTGACAGCAGCTCCAGTGATTCAGAGGATGCATCCTCTGTGGCCTCGTCAAATGGAGAGCACTCAAGCTTGGGTCAGAAGACCACGTACAGACGCTTGGAGGCTGACGACATTGAAGCTGACCAATGTTTGATCAACAAAAGCTCAAAGGTAATTCACCTGCTGGCCGGAGAGGATGAGAAATTCTGGTGTGGCAGGAGCCCCACGGCTTCTTTCAGCAGGGCCTCGAGGGACGAGATATCAACACCTGAGGTGGTGGTTTGCGCGAGCTGTTCACATGCTTACCGTGCTGCGAGGAGAGACCTTTGAGTTTTCAATTTTGGTTTTTGCCTGTGCCAATGGAATGCAATGTTGGCCTTAAGGTGTTGCCGATCTCAAAGCGCGCACTGCCGAAGTATAAAAGATGCTTGCATACTATCAGTGGGTCAGTGATTAAGTCAGATTTTTCATTAACATGCGTTTGAGATAGTCATCCAAGGTTCTCATAACTGAAGCTGCGTCATGTTGATAGCCACGGAAATCACGCAAGTCTGGATAGCAAAGAAACCACTTGGAACCCAATGCCTAGCATGTTCTCGTGCGGCAGAGGAATCATAACCAAGTGACAAAGCTCATTCAACTTCGTGGTGCGTCCATGGCTCATCAGCAACACGTTGCACAAGGCAGCAGAAACAGAAACCTTGTGCGGCTCCTCGAGTCACACCCACTTGATAAACATCTTTTTGAGCTGATCACGAAGTTTTGAATGTAGACGTGTTCAACTAGAAGAACATCAAGTTGACCATTATTTCCTTGCACACAGTGTGGTTTTTCGCTGAAGCATGGCCATAGATTCGAAAGTTGCCTTTCAAAATCGGGCACTGGAACTGGGAAAGAGGTTGATGCGCTTGAAGTTGCAGGTATCAATAGCTATGCAACATACGCGTACTGCAGTACCTACCAACCTGGTCAAAATGATGACACTGCACTGATAGCATTCTTGACCACTACGTTTGGGAATGCACCATCAGCTGCTTCAACCACTCGTTTCAGGCGACTGTTTTTCGAGGCACATGCGCTGTCTTTGGAGGACCTCAAATCCAGGGCAGACAGGTCAGAGTCAAGCGAGGCAAGGATCATCCCACTTGCAGAGAAAATGGATCGAATACGATTGCAGAAACAGCGTTTGACAGGTTTGAGTTTCACGCCACAGAGTGAGCCTTCACACTCCCTCATAGATAGGGTTTGTCAGCAGTTGGAAGACAATGTCATTACATACATTGAACTGAATCGATGCTCGTCCAGGCATGATGAGGCCTTGCACTCCAAGGTTGACACTTCACTGGCGCTGGACAATGCAGGTGGCTTGCGACTCAGCAAAAAGCAACGTCTTGACGATGTGAATGTAACAGGTGAACACAAGCTGAGACAGGCGTTTTTGAGGAGGTCACTGGCGTATGACTTGGCTGGCATCGCAACCTTTGCTGTGCTTGACCTGTGGACGCAAAAACTTTTCGAAAAAATGAATGAAGCCCCACTGTCAAACTACAGGCACATTAGTATTGAGCAAGTGATCAATGCTGACAAGGCCTTGTGGGTCAAAGTGTCTAATGACACTCGTGGCAAGTTGCAGCCGAAGACCGGGACAGATAAGCCCTTTGATGTTTCCTTCGAAAAATTTTCGGAGCATCCGGAAGTCCTGCAGCACTTGACACCGCTGCAAAGCATTGGGGCTCACAAGCAAGACACGTCTACAACGTTTTCTGGTGGAAAAGGCAAAGGTGGAAATCAGAGTGATGGAAAAGGAAAATCTTCAAAGGGCAAAGGCAAAGTTAACTCTGGCATTGCAGTACCAGACGATTGTGAGATTTTTGTGGATGGAAAACAGCTTTGCAAACGATGGCAGGTGGGGCGTTGCACTGCCAAAATCAAGCCTGGAAAGCGCTGCATGGTTGGGTATCACATGTGCTGGAAGAAGTCATGTCACAAACTTCACCCGGGCAACGAGTGCCCACACTGACTTGGCGAGGTATCCAGCAAAAAAGTTTCACTTTGGAAGCTACGACGTTTGAAATTTGTTGTGGCTCAGCTGGATTGTCGGACGCATTAAGGCGCCTCGGATTCCAGGTCTACCCCGTGGACCACTCAGCAAACAGGCATTTACCTAAGGTCAAAGTCTTTGTGCTGGATGTGTCGAATTCAAATCAATTGATGCTGCTTGAAACAATTCTACATCACTGCAAGCCGTGTCACGTCCACTTGGGCCTTCCTTGTGGAACATGTTCCCGCGCCAGAGAGAAACCTATGCCGTCCAAGCTTGGAGGTCACATGGGACCGCAGCCCTTGCGCAGTGCTGAGCATCTCAGAGGTTTTCCTCACCTAACAGGTGCTGACAAAATTAAGGTTGATCTTGCCAACCAGTTGTACAAGTCCGCCATCAGAATTTTGCAAATTTGCATGGCGCTAGGATGCTTGGTTTCGATTGAAAATCCAGCGCGTTCTTGGCTCTGGGCGCTTCTTGCAGTTTTGGTGAAGGATACAAATGACCAGCTCTTCATTTCATGGTTTGCGAACTTGGAAAGCATCTATTTTGATGCATGTGCGCATGGTAGCCTGCGAGACAAGAGGACCAAATTGCTTGCAACTCAAGGTGTCTTCACATCATTGGCGGCTGACTGCCCCCAAGACCATGTGCATGCTTCATGGCAACCTTACAAGAGCGATCAGGGTGTAATATTCCCCACTGCAGCGGAAGCGGAATATCCAAGCACTTTGTGCAAGCGTATGGCAAATTGCGTGCTTGAAGCATCAGTTCTAATGGGTGTCCAACCGACACCGTCACTGAGACTCAAAGATCTTCTCCGATTGGGTTTGGGTCAACAAAGCATTCGACACCCCCCGCTGGTGCCTGAGTACAAGGAGTTCATACACCTGAGTGAGGTTTCTGCGCATCCTGCTCATAAACTGCTTGCTGCTCCACCACACCATGGGGAAACCAACACTGAGCAGCAACTGGACCCGGAGGCAGGGCCTGTCAAGAGGCCCAGAACCACCTTCAAGTATGGCGTTTGGCATGAACCGGAAGAGTTTTTAAAGAAAGCTCAAGAGGCGAAACACCCAATTGACCAAGATTCCTTTCTACATCAAATTACAAAGGACGCCATTGTACAAGTAGTTGGCACTTGCCCTACAAAGCTGGCCAAAGAGCGCTTGTCTACTGTTTTTCATGTGAAGAAATTGTCCACGGACCTTAAGCTGCGCGAGCAGGAACTCAAAGCAAGCCTGCACCCAGACGTCAGTCGATGTGTCAATAGCAAAAACATACTGCTATTTGAGCAGCTTCTACAGCAACAGAATTACTGGGACATGGGTGTTGTCGACCTTTTGAAATTTGGAGTTCCTTTGGTTGGATTGCAAGAACCGCCGGCTGGATATCAGCAGCTGTTGGTGCCGGCAAGCATGACAGAAGACGAGCTGATGGCGTCGGCCAAATGGCGTAGAACCAGCATAATGCAAACAGCCAGACCGCTTACCAATAGCGAGGAAGATGCATTGTTGGAGGCAACAGCTTCCGAAGTTGAAAAGGGCTTTTTGCAGGGTCCATATTCCGAAGCTGAGATGTCAGTCCTGATGGGAACCGAATGTTGGTCACTGAACCCACGCTTCGTCCTGTTTCAAGGAGCCAGCCAAAAGGTGAGGGTCATAGACGATGCAAAGCAGAGCGCAGTTAACTCAGCGTATTCGTCGACCGTGAAACTCCAGTTGCAAGACGTGGATTACGCCGCAGCTATGGTTCTAGGGGCTATGCGCGAAGCTGGACTTTCAGATTCTGAAGCTTTGGAATGGCTTGGCAAAACTTTCGACCTCAGTAAAGCCTATAAACAACTAGCTGTGCTGCCTGACCATCAGCTCCATGCCATAGTTGGATTTCCTTCTGGGGGGAAGTGGCAGTTTTACAAAAGTGTTTCATTGCCCTTCGGCTGCACCGGAAGTGTTTACGGTTTCGTGCGCATATCACAAGCCCTTTGGTTTCTGCTGTCGAAACTGCTCAAAGCCATTACGTCTCACTACTTTGACGACTTCCCGACGGTGGAGCGATCGGAAGGTTGCAGGGTCCTGTCGTTGGCCTTCAGTGCGCTGCTCGACTTACTTGGTTGGGACCACGCAAAAGAAGGTGACAAAGCTCTCAACTTCTCCGCGACATTTGACCTGCTTGGGGTAACGTTTGACCTTAGTGGTATGAGCTTGGGCACCTTGGTTGTAAGGAACAAAACAAGTCGGATCGAAAAACTGTGTGCGATGCTTGATCAGGTGGCAAAGGACAAAAACATTTCCGCTGCGAAAGCGAGCGAACTCCAGGGGCTCCTCAATTTTGCAGTCAGCTTCTACTTGGGCCGGAGCATGAAGCATTTGGTATCTGCTTTTATGCCTTTCGCCGACAAACCCCAGCATCTCCGTGCTTCTGATTTGGAAAATCTCTGCTTGTACACGAAAACAATGCTTTTGGAACAGCGCCCCCGCGTTCATTCGGTCTTGAATGTGGGACGCCCGGTGGTCGTCTTTACAGACGGAGCCTGGGAAGACGGCATTGCCACTGCAGGGGCAGTCCTGATTGACGGCGACGTCCGCCTTGCATTTCAACTTGAGGTGCCGCAAGCTCTTGTAGACCATTGGTTAGCAAACGCTGGAGAACAGATAATATCGCAGGTGGAGCTATGGGGCTTAGTTTTGCTCAAATGGTCGCGCCGTGAGCACCTGCAAAATCGCAGGGTCATCGAATGGATTGACAACGAGTCGGCAAGGATTTCATCCATAAAGGCCAACAGCCACTCTCCCACCATGCGATCATTGTCTAGGATGTTAGCTGACTTGGATCTTCAATATCCAGCCTTCTCTTGGACGGAACGCGTATGCTCTTATTCGAATCCAGCAGACTTACCGTCCCGCAACCGCTTGAAAGAAGCCATGCAGAGGTTTGGCCTGGATGATGGCGGTGTTATCAAAGCTCCTGCTGACTTAGTGAATGCTCTTATCCAATTTCACCGATCTCCTTACATGCTGCTCACAACAACGGGGGAGAACCACTGAGCAACATGTGTGACAACTCACCGCTGTGAGATTCACCATCCAAAACGGCATAACAGATCCGACTAACTGTCATATGCCTTGCTTGGTGACCGAACGGAAACTGCAAACTCCCCAGACCAAACAGAGCATGCTGAGAGGAGAAAAAGGATGCTTTGAGTGCGTGCGTTCGAGATCCAACATGTCAAAATTTTTCAAATCATTTCTGAAGTTTGACATTCGTCATGTCACTCCGTTGCGCATCGAGATCTTATTTTTCCGGCGTATGCACAAATATAAATATACTACATGGATATATATATGTACGTCAGATATCGTTGGGTTTTGTTTTTGTGTAAGTTGTCCTAATAACTTTGCGTAGCGCTTACCCTTACATGTTTGCCTGAGTTTGTTCTAATATAAGATGAGTGCTGTCACGAAGTGAGAGCACAATCTTTGTAAGAACAGCGCAAAATTTTTAACAACAAATTTTGCAACTCAGGACAAAACAATTTATAAGGGTTACATCTTGCGCAGCACGCGTTTTTCTGAATAACAATTTTAAATGGACAACTCACACAACCAAAACAAAACAACACAACCTTCCCTTGGATCAACATCTCATTTGATGTTCGTGTTGCATTTTTCGTATCAAGGGTGAGGTAGTGGAGGGTTTAAAAAAACCTTTATTCCACAACCAATTTTTCTTTCGGCCCACCCTCCCTTAACCCTAATTTGGGGGGGGAGAACCACTGAGCAACATGTGTGACAACTCACCGCTGTGAGATTCACCATCCAAAACGGCATAACAGATCCGACTAACTGTCATATGCCTTGCTTGGTGACCGAACGGAAACTGCAAACTCCCCAGACCAAACAGAGCATGCTGAGAGGAGAAAAAGGATGCTTTGAGTGCGTGCGTTCGAGATCCAACATTTCAAAATTTTTCAAATCATTTCTGAAGTTTGACATTCGTCATGTCACTCCGTTGCGCATCGAGATCTTATTTTTCCGGCGTATGCACATATATAAATATACTACATGGATATATATATGTACGTCAGATATCGTTGGGTTTTGTTTTTGTGTAAGTTGTCCTAAGAACTTTGCGTAGCGCTTACCCTTACATGTTTGCCTGAGTTTGTTCTAATATAAGATGAACAGTTCACAGCCGCAAGCCAACGTCCTGACAACCTTGGCGCTCTTCCACACCTGTGGCTGCAGGCCAAGCTTACCATCTCCCTGACGGCCATGCAGGAAAAGTTTGCCCGCCTCTTCATGTCAATTGCGTCAGAACTGTGGCTGAGGGATGCGATCGATACTATTGAGGAGGTATTTGCACATGCCGCCCGTAGTTTCACGCTCAGGCTGGCTGAAACACTTTCGCAGTATATATGCTCGCTTACTCGGCGAGCAGAGTCTCTGGCTACCCCAGAGACGGAATGCCTGCTGTATGCCACGTTTTGGTTTCGTCCAATTCTCTCCGAGCTAATTGGAGCAGCCAAAGAGAGTGCAGAAGTCAACCGTAAACGCGCCCCCAGTGGACCTGTGAAAGTTGTCATCACAAACCAGCCCCACTCTCGGCGTCACACCGGAGTCGACCTGGTCAGCGGAATTTCGGCCTTACTGGCGTGGTTTCCGGCTATCTGGGCCAGCAAGATTGCGCCGTGCTTCCTAGGAGAAGAAGGAGGTGCCATCCAAGCCCCGCAAGAGGTTTCCTTTTCTTGTCCCCACCGGGTCTTTGAGGGGTTGCAGAACGAGGCGGTTGACCAAGTACTGCAGGCGGTCAAGTTCACTGACAAAAACGCTCCTGGCTTGAGTCTGGCTTTGGACGAGGAATTCCAAGCAGCTGATTGCTTTGCGGAACTCATACGAGGGTACACAATGGGCGTAGTAGAACCCTACATCATGATGGGCCTGCAACCCACCGGACCCACGAGAGTCAATCTGGAAGTGATTGTCCCATCCCCCAAAGGACTTACTCCTGCAATGTGGAAGCAGACTGCCACTCTGTGTCCGCTTGAGTGGCCGTCCAATTATAGCCTACTGAGATTGTGGCATACGCCCAAAAGTTTCCACCAGTATGCTGCACAACTCAAGCAGCAAGTGCAACATCGCCATATGTTCACTCATTGGGAAGTCAACCGCGGGAAGTTAGCAAGCAGGGTGCTTTTCCAACGACCAGCCCATTACTTACCAGAAACGATTCTGCAGCAGCACGTGCGAGAGCGGACCTTCCCTGATAGGAAACTACGCAGGAGAGCACCAAACACTGACCTGGTCGATTTCCAGACTAAATGCAATGAGTTACGGCTTCAGGCCGCAGGGGCAGAAAGGGCGAACCCTGTCTCCTTTGCGATTGGGAACAGCTGGAATGACACTCTCAGAGCAGACAAGCAACACCACCTTGAATACACTACACGGAGTCAGACTTAGTTCCTTTCTTCTTTCCCCCCCCTTGGTGTTTCGGGTCGTCCTCTTTCATTGCTTCTTTTGGTCTCTCTGTGCCTCTTTCCCTTTTGGCCCCTCCTGGCTTTGGTTGGCTGGGGCCCCTTTTGCTCCGACAAGGACCTATTTTTTGGCTCCCCTACCTTTTGCATGTCCCTTTCTTGCGCAGTCCTTTTTGATTTGAATTCATTCTGGTGTGTCTGTCCATAGACGTGACAGGTGCACTGGTGTCTCATCCCCTGTTTTATTGCTTAGTGGCCTGCAATTTTTGGTTGTACTTGTGTGTCTGTCCATAGACGTGACAGGTGCACTCGTACTTCTCTGCACTACTAAGGTCCAGTCTCTCTGTTTCGTGTGCATGTTACTTCTCCACTGCGTTAATAAGATCCTGAATTTCTCGCACTACTTCTTCTGTTAAGGTCAAGAGCTTCACTTTCCGAAAATTTTGTGTCGCCCTCTCCTTTTGTGGGTCTGCGCTCCCCTTGGGGTGTCCCCCTTTGGGTTCTCGGTCTCCCTTCTTGATGCTTCCGTCGGTGCGTCTCTTTGTGTTTCTCTGTTTCTGTTGTGCTCCTCTCTGTGTTTGGGTGGGCCCCGCTCTTCTGTCTGGTTGTGTGGCTCTTGGTGGCTCCCCTCCCTGTCAGTTGTTGCTTCCCCTCCCCCGCGGTTGGTCCCGTGCGGCTCCCTGGCCCAGCTGTTACGCTGGTACCTCCCTCTGGGTATCTGGTTGCAGCTGTGACGGCTCAGTTGCCCTGCTTAGGTTTGGGAGTGTGGTTGTGCTTTGTTGTCCTTCCGTCATTTGTCTCATGGCAGCAAAGGCTATTTAGCCCTGTGTGGGGTGTTTTCACCCTCTCCACCATGTTGCAGGTGTTGTCAAGGAGCTCAGTTTGGCCACACTGAGGTATTCGTCATGATGATGATCCAGGTCCCACATTGGACCCCGCTAAGCTGCCCTATTGCTATTCTAATGTAACGGGTGCAACCTTCTCCGCCCCTGTCCTCCTCTGCCATCCCGGCACCCCCCCCTCCTGGTTGGGTGTTGTTTTGCTTGCCTGCTTTGTTTTGGTTTTGTTTGGTCGTCTTCTGGTATTCTGTGGTGGGTTGGGACTTGGGTGCCCTCCTTTGCTTGTGCTACCCTCCCCTGCCCTCACTCAGGTGCGAAGCGACTGGAGCTTAGAGTTGATTGAACGAATATTGTTGATCGGTTTGGGATTTTTACTTCTTAGGGTATTGATTCGAGTGGCACTGACACAGCACTTTTGTGACTTACTAAGGATACTCTGGACGGCCAATTAGTTTGGTGCCCCTAGGGCCCGTTTTTGATTTGCTTTGCCCTTCTTGCTGGCTTGACCTTTCCTCCTTTAAGGGACTTTCTGCTTTCTTTGGCTTTGAATTCGTTTGTCTTAGTTTTGCCTGGGTCTCCTTGGTACGTCATCTGGCTGGGTACTCTACTTGGGTAGCTGCATCTATCCGAGAGGGGCGGTAGGTAGTCGGCCGATGCATGGACCAGACTGTGCTGCAGTGAGCTTCACTGGTGCATTCCAGTGGTGCTCCCTGTAGGACCGCCTGGGGCGCCCGCGTGCAGCATAAGACTGCCTACATGGTTCGTCAATTGGTGGATGGATTGTGATGATTCTGCAGCCTGCCTATTCTGTGGGTGAGTGGCATTACAGACTTGGTTTCGCTACAATCTTCTTCTGTGCATACTGCAATGCACTGCAGGTCTTTCAGGGACGATGACATCCTGAAATGTCTTGAACAGTTCTGTAGTTTGTATGTTTCGCGAACCTATCCAAAGAGAGTTACGCTGCCTAAGACAGCACGGGTATGATGAAAAGTTGCGAATACAACTCTGCTATTTTTCAGAGTTGGATCGTCGCCATCTGGCTTCATCCTACCTGCACAACGACATTAGTTTTTGCATACCTCTCAGCTCTGCGAGTTTCGCCCAGGAGCTTTGGTGGCTGAGATCAATCAATCTGATAGTTGCATCTTCCCCTATGAAATTAGGGGCATGCTGATTTTTTTGCGATGGTATTTTGGAAGTTTGCCCCTGGCCCTGCGCTGCTTCTCGCATGCCATCACAGTCCACCCCCCCGCTGGGGGGGAATTGGCTCTTGCACCATCACGGCTTCGTGGTTACGGCTGACAGATATGGTGACGACTCTGTCCATGGAGGCCCTCTGACGAGCTGATCTGAGATGACGCTGAGAGAGGCGTAAAGTATAGCTTGTTTTCTTGTACAGTGTAGCACATGCCTGAGTCAACATACAAGCTAAAGCCTTCATGTTTGCCCGAATGCCGTAATACTAATTCATTGGCACGTTTTTGAGAGTGATGCAGTGGACAAGCCACTGCGTCCCATGGCAAATCGATCTTGTGGGTGTTTTGTTTGGGCTCTGGCCCCGTTTTTGTTGGTTTGGTGTTTTGCTGTTTGCTTCGCTGTGTCCTCTGGCGAAACGCAAGTCTGGCTGGGGGATTTGCGGGTCGTCGTGTTTGGTTGGTTCTGGTGTTTGTGTTTTTCTTATCGATTTGCCTGCACAAATGGACATGATGTGTCCTTGTACAAAAGCCTATCT